CGTAATCTCAGACATCACTCTACAGTTTGATTCATCAGGCCACGAAAGTTCCGTCATCGATACTAGGTCAGCGATTCGGTTAAATGCTTTTTCGTTGCTATCTAGAGGAAAATTTATAATAACAGGTTTAATTTCGAGCTGACGAGCGATTGACTGCATATTCATAGCTACCGATGAACCTACAATGAAAAAAAACGTGCTAGAAACAAAATTAACAATCGGCAGGAACGCGAGAGGATCACATATTCGATTAAAAAGATACGTGGTTTTAAAGATTAAAAAGTTATAACAAGCAATTTTCCAATGCCTTCGAACATAACACCACAGTGCCAAAAGAAAATTCCAAAGACAACAGAATTTAAAACAATTAAAGGGACATATATATCTCGAACTAAAATACTTCAAGGTTTAGGATCCTATGTGATTGAGAATATTGCCATTTCTGCTTCACGGTATCAATACTGTCTGGTCTATATTTTCATTAGTTCAAATAAACCGTACGCTTAACACACCGCCATCTGAAAGCTAGAAGGAAACACAGCACAGATTTCATAATCTTTATACTTCACTGCGTTCCCTTACCAGCCGCTTTCCTAAAACTGGTGCCATGGCTACCGCGCCATAGTATGATAAGTTTCATCTTTGAGGTTGAGCTTGCTGTTTCTAACTGCCCTGCCCCTGTGACCTACAGCGCAGTACCACCACCTTGTTGAAGTTACACTGGTCTGCTTCAGTTATTTATACTAGAGATATGGTGCATCTGGTTCAAAAGGCAAAAAGTGAAATGACAAAACCACCAGTTCTTATCAAGCTTGATCATTCATTCAACAAATTTAAGTCCTCAATTATGTTGAAGTCATAATTAAGTATTCATTCATTCATCGATTTGCAAAGCTCTTCATTCTTTTCTGATCACGGGATCAGCTATTTCTCAGGTCATTCCAATTCTGACCTGTCTCCAAACGAACATGCAACATGGTCATAATTTCTAGGTGAGAAAGGGTCAGACCTGAACATATTCAGTATGCAATCTGTCACTGTGGCTTCGAAAAGAGAGTGCATCTGGAATCTGCCCGGTTGCATTCCCATCACATGCCCAAACAATCACAATTGTACTCTTTAAATCTTAAGAACGAACAACTCAAATCGAAGCAACCTCTTGCCGTGTTCAAAAATTTTTCAAGTCTCGTTAGCCAACAATGTTGCGCAGGAACTTCATTTCTGCAGCAGGTACACTTATGATTAACATGAAACACTTATGGCAATAGGTAACGGCAGGCAAGTTCAAGAATTACAGTCAGGCAGCTATATGCTAGGACTTAAGCTTCATCTTCATCGTCACAAGTCAGATCAGCTCCAACATTACGGCACTCACCTAGCCAATACGTGCCGACCATCACTTCAGAATGTATCTCAAGTTACCTTAACATCTCTAAGGCCTCAGCTGTACTTCAAGTATATGCAAAGCACAGTGATGCTCATTTGAAAGTACGAAAACCGGTTTTGATCCGGCTGATTTTCATGTCCGTCTCATTGCATTTAGCAGCAGAGCGATAAACGCACTCGTTAGATGCAATGACTGGGGCTCTGATTGTGACGTTCTTAGTGTTTAGGCTGCTTCTGCTGCTGCAGTATGTAAAAATTATTAACAGGAGAGGTGAAAACAAACATGATGACGAAAACCAATGCGGATCTTCATAGGCATCGTTTTCCTGCCAATTATCCGGGCACGAATCTCGCAGTAAGCATCTTTAAACATCTTGTGCCTAGTAGATAACCATCTACCCACTACCTTATATTCCTGCATTACTCTCCATAAGTACGACAGAGATGAACTGTCGTAGAGGTTTTCGAGGTTAATATCACAGACATAAACTGCTTTTGGATGTTTGTTGCATTTCTAATTCACATACTTAAACTAGCTTTTCGGTTAACACAACCATCAAGGTATACATATTCAGCGTCTTCCAATTTACTACAGAGATGTTACAGATAAAAAAACCTCTGTATCGCCAGTTGAACAAGAGAAGTAAATGGCTCCATAAAGCTCATACGAATTGCAAATCAACTTCATTAATTGTCTTACCTTCTTTGTCCATTTTATTGAGATAAATGATGGAAGGAATGCAAAAACGATGTGCTTGGCGCCATACGGTAAGTGTTTGTGATTGTACTCCTGCCGACGCATCCAGTATAACTATGGAGCCGTCCAGTACACGTAGAGCTCGTTCGACCTAATGAAACCATACGCCGTCAGGTCCGCTTAGTAGAGTAGGAAACCTTACCTCTAACATGAAATCCACATGACCAGGAGTATCAATCAAGTTGATGCGGTAGCCCTGCCAGAGGAAACTTACAGCTGCGCACGTGATTGTAATACCTAAATATCAAAAATTATTTCGGCTGCTACAAAGTAACTAAGTTGCAACCTCGTTCTCGCTCCTGAGCCATATAATCGGTTATTGTATCTCCAGAGTCAACATTTCCTATGTGTTCCGTTTCCCTAGTAATGTACAGCATGCGTTCCGTGGTAGTAGTTTTTCCTGTAAAAGTAAATTTACAATAAAAAAAAATTTCCGGAAATTAGGATGAAGAAGCGGTGTCAGGAGTTCAAGAAATGCACGAGGTCGACTGAAATTGAAACTTTAGGTCTACCGTTTGTTTGTAAAACTTCTGAAAAAACAGGAAATTCTCAGTTCCCAATTATAAACCACT